GGCACAGGTGGAAGGAAAGGGCTGAGATGTCTCCTTCTGTAGCGCTGTCGCGACTATCGCCCCCTTCGCCGTCTGAGGGCAGCGTGGCGCTAGAAGAGCATTACACAGGAGGGGGAAGTCCCATCCCGCCGCTGAGCAAACGCCCATGGCGAGACGACGAGTGCAGCCGGGCGGCCGCCCCCCCGCCCCCCTAGGGCCGCCGAGGGGGCCGCACCCCGGAGCTGCTCCGTGATCGGCCCGACCGACGCCACTGGGGCTCCCCGCTGAGTGCCAGCCGGGGGGTGTGTGGTGTGTGTGCCCCGGGAACCCCGTCCCCATCCCCTAGGGCAGCTCTAACGCTGCCTGCGCCGGGAGGTGCCGCAGCTGTAACGGGGGTTCCCCTGCCCCGTCCTTACCCGGCGCTCCCAGGCAGCGCCAAGCGCTGTCGCGTCTGGAGAAGGAGCGTTTACGTTTATAGCGCTGGAACTGGAGGGGTGTTTACAACAAAACAGTCCGGATTCCTGAGGACATTTTCTCTTCCAGATGCTTTCTAAATATAGCGCACGGCAATCCACTACCTAGCACAGCATCCTCGCTTCTGCACTTAGGGAAATACAAAGTCAGTCAGAAGAGGGGAAAAAAAATGAGAGAGGCAAAGACAAGACAATCTTAAGGGAGGGGAAAGAAGTTAAAAAGAGCATCTAGTATTTAAAATCCACGTCTGCATTAAGGTCACTCGAACAGTGATAAAGGCCGTCTATTCGTATTTTAAAGCGGCTGTCTTTTCCACGGGGACAGTTGTTTGCCTCCTGACCCATCGACAGCCTATTAATACAATTTAATTCTGCAGTTGCTTCTGTTTAAAGAGTGTTTGGGGCGAATTGTTTCTTTTGTTTATGATCAAGCAAACGAGCTCTGGTAATCTTATGTTTTATCTCCCTAACATATGGAAAAGCTATTTATCCCAGCCAATCACAATAAAGCGAAGAAAACCCCATTTTATGGAAAGGTATATATCACAAGTTTGTTCATCATTAAAGATATGATTACCAGTGAAAACCCTCCGAAAGTGGCACATTTATGATTCCGGGAACAGATGGGGACATCCATTTTCCTTGCAAATACTTTTGAAATTGCTCTACTGGTAGCAGTATAAAAATGATATACAGATGCCAGTGCCAACGAAGCCGGGACAAGAGGTCCAGATTTACACAGTAAAAGCTTCACATGCGCTCTGTCAGCTTTGATTGATCTGTGCTATACCTCAGAAACTTGTTGACTGGGAAAGGAAACAGGGCAAATAATTCACCGCAACAAGGCAGATAATTCACCCGGCCAACCGCTCCGCGCCGCTTCCCCGGGCGGTGACATACGAGTCCTCATGCCGCACAAAGAAGCATCATTCTCCGGCGTGAGCAGCGGCCGGTGTCACGGGGAAAGAAGGGGGAGAAGAGAAAGGGGGAGGAAAAGAGCGAGGGAGAGGTGGGAGCAGAGCACACAAAAGGAGAGACGAGAAAGGAGAAGTTGCTCCTGGGTAATGGGCACAGCCCATCTACCTTTTCCGCGCGGAGCCCAGGCCGAGCCATTGAGCCCCAATTGTCATTATCATATTGATTAAGTTCATCAGAGAGCAATTTTAGGTTTAACGCCAGCGGACTGGGAGAGGGAGCAAAGAATTATCTAAGAAAAGCACAACATTCTTACCGCAGGGACGTTTCCCTGTTCCAGTTCATTGAGGGAGTTGATTAAGTTTAAATGAAGCAGACACTGGATAAAAGTAAGGGTATTGACCACTGGGCAGCGCGGCCCGCGCTTGAAAAGGCCTGATACATGCAGAAAAGCAAGATTTGCTAAATGCTCTAATCTTCAATCAAATCTTACATCAATACAGACAAAGTTTGGTAATGAGAGATTCAATGAAGCATGCGGGAGAAAGAATTAATCCTCTTGGTCTAAACTGGGTTCAACTTTGAAGCCTGCTCCGAAGGAAAGACAGTTATCTAAATGCTAAATAAGAAACTTATTGTACTTTTCATGGCATGCTAATCTTTTGTCTATTTCATCTCTATTATTTGTATGCTCATAGGCGGCAGTTGTCATGGTGATTATATCAAACCACTTCTGTGCAGATGCCTGCGAGGAACCAGGGCCTCCCTCCAGCCCTCCGCCGGGGCCAGCCCGGCCCTTCCCTCCCTTCCGCGCCAGAGCTCCGCAACCGCTCACGGCCCTGCCGCTCGGGCGGGGCTGAAATCGGCTCCCCGGCTCCGGCAGCGTTTGGACGGCACCGGCACCCTCCTCTTTTCCCTGTCCCCCCGCATCACCCAAACCGGCGCACCATGACGAGATGCTTTTTTTTTCTCCCTTCCTTCTTTCTCTCTCTCCCATTTTTTTTTTTTTTTTTTTTTGAGGTTGCCTTGATAAGCTTTTGATGTCACAAATCAAACACTCGCCAGGAGGTAGATAATGGGGAGTGTGATCTCCTCTATTTGTACATAGACAGCGTTTTTGCACCGTCGCTGCCTAGAACCGGTGTCAGACTCCCCGGGCTTTGCTGGACTCTGCCCATTGCCCCCGGCCTGGGGAGCCCAGCATCGAAATGGGAGTGGGGGAGTGGGATCCACAGGCAGCCGCCGCTCCCCCGGGCTCGGGCAGCCCCTGAGAAGGGGAATTAAGATTCATGATATGCAAATGCCGAGGTGAGCGCAGACAACTGATTGCGACAGGTTTGGAGGGAAAGAAGAAAGCGGGATGGGGAGAGAAAGAGCCCGATGGTGATCATTTATGTATTTATTTATTTACTTACTTACTTACTCTTAACCGCACGTCGTTAACACTCGCAGGCAGCCACCGGTAGCAGGCACCGGGCTCTGGCCCACGGGCAGCGCTGCGGGGCAGGCTGGGGGTGGGAGGGAAGCGGCAGCCCCAGTACCCCGCGGCTCAACGGAGCTATCGGGATGAGGGCTGTAAATCCGCACGCTGTCCATCAGACATCCTAATCTCTCCCCCTGCGGTACCCAGGGGTTTTGGCACAGCTCCGAAGGGGAGACAGGCGGCACAAATAGGTGGGTGCGAGAAAGAAGGGGCCTTCCCCCGGCTTGCTCCTGAGACATCATAATCTGAGCGCACAAGGGTGGCACCCGGGCTTTTATGTCTTTTACAAAAGTTGCCAAATTAAGGCCGGATTAGGGCTCCCTTCAGGATTTGTGGGCTCTTTAGAGGCTGGGAGCTGCCCATATAGCCCTCCAGTGCTTATGAAAAGCTTAAAAAGTAATAAAAGGGGGAGTGATCCCGAGAGAAAGTAACATGTATAACTCTTATTAAAGGAGCAGCGAGCGGGGCTGTGAACTTGAATAACTGTTTGAACTTTAATTTGTTCATTAACAGGATTTGCCCCTGACTGTGAATGTTATTACTTCTCTTAAAAGCGAGGTGCAAATGCAAAGCCATAATGAAAGAGCCTGGCAAAAAGTTAAACGCCTCGTAATTACACCAGCCTCATTGAAAACTTGAGGTAATAGAAACATGAGGAAGACGGGAGCCGGGCTGACGGGCTTCCAGCGCCCCAGCCTCGGGCAGAGCGGTCAGATCCGGGCCTCGGTTCCCATCCTTGGGGACTCCCGACAGCTCGCTACAGTCCAGTGCCAAACGTGGGTGCTTGAACAAGTTTAAAACACCTTTACAGCATAAAAAAAAGGGGGCGGGGGGGCGGGGAGGGGGAATCCATGTTTTCCTGAGTGGGGGAAGCTTGGTTTATCCTCCAAGTGTTGTAAGTGAAACACGGCGTCTGAAGCCTGATATAATCTGCATGTTTGTATCCTAAACAGGGCACATTAACTGCTCTTTCCCCATCACAACGACAGCAGATAAAACTCTGGAGAACCGGAATAAAACAAACTACTGCTCCTCTCAGAAGGTATATGACTTTGTACCGATGCTTTTGCCAGTTAGCTCCGCGCTGTCTGCCGTTTCATCTGTCACTTATCGCTTTCCCGGGCTTGTCAACTGCGGCTTTTATAGATTCGCTTGTGATCTGCATCCTTCCTCAACAGGAACATGCAGCCAGGTCGCAATTAAATATACAGATACACGAGCTGTTAGCAAGGCTTCACCCTCCCATCCGGAGCGATGATTGCCCTGTCACTTCTTCTTTAGACTTAAACCGCCTTAAAACTCTCCGCTGGAGCGCAGGGTTTGTGAGCTGGGCGCTTGCTTTTGTCCGCCTCCCTCTTCCCAGCGACGGCTTCTTTGAGGTATTAACTCCAGAAGCTCTTTCTCTCCCGGGGGCCCTGAGCCCGCACCGCCCCACAGCCCTCCCCGGGGCCGGGCGGGCTCAGTAACGCACCGGGTATCCAGGGCAAGGCCCGAGCCCGCCGGTGCAGCGGCATCACCTCCCGACTGCACTTCCCAGTGCAGGGCGGAAACGGAGACATCGCATCGAGCCGGGTCCTGCAGCCCTGTGTCAGAGCAGAGGAAAAGCAAGAAGGGACTTCTTAAAAAGAGGGAGTGAAAACTTCTCTACTGCTTTAACACGCTTTCCTGCTTCTACAGCGGCATGCACATTGGGGAAGTTACGTTATCGTAACACTATCAACTCGAAACGTTTCAGTTACACCACTATAAATAAAGATATGACCCATTTTCTAGACCTAATGATTTTCTTCTTATATTCTTTTCAGCATCATTAAACTCATCAGAAAACAAACAAACAAACAGTGTCTCCTCCTCCCTCCCCCCTTTAATCCAATTGGTATTCAGGGGAAAAAACCCCATCATGTTACTCACAAAGTAATTACATTTCTTCATCCCTACTCGTCCATTCCAGCACTGCCACCCCAGGGAAGACCTGCAAAACCAGCAAGGCCCAGTTACCACCTGAGAAGCAATGAATGCAGCCTGGCCTTGACCAAGAAGACATCAGGCAGGAAGGGGATAGGTAGCACTTTCTGTTCTTAACTCATCAGAATCGTTGTTCTAACCCGGAACTGGAAAGAAGCTTTGTAAAATTACCAAGTCCCAAGACAGCAGATCTTAGACAGATCACACCTTCCTCTGAAGCCAAAGATGAAGCACAGGGGGAGCGAGTTTCCTGCAAGGAACAGGACAAACATGCCTACATTTGGTGCCACATCAGGTGCCCTTTGGCTCCATCTCACAGAAACTCTGCCCACAGCAACAGGATGGTTATCCTTAACAGTGTCCCTGAATCAGCTCCAGCCTTACCACCAAGCAGAAACAGCGTTTCTGGCAATTGCTGCCATGTAAGAGTGAACCCAAGCTACTCTGTGGTTATTTAGACACAAAAGTGTCCTGAGAACATGATCCTTACCATGGTCTTGGTCTTCTAATGACGATGCACCAGTACAGGCTGTTCTGCTTACATAGCTGTGCTGTGACAGTGCTTGCAGGATCAGGGCAGGAACTACTAACTAGGTTGCCAGTTTCCCTCCATCTAACCCCTAATGATTGCTTTAGATTTGAAGAGAATTTGATATAGCACAGATAAATTACATCCAAGGCTTCATCAGACATGGATTAAATTGTTCAGCTTCACTGAGTGGACTCGATTACCTGCAAAATTGGAGCTGGACAGCACCTTCATGTGAGCACTGCAAGCCTACCTATTTCTGCTGGAGCCATCCCCGGAGATCCACGGGATGAAGGCCACTGAGGCTGCTCAGAAAGCAACTCGTTATGGGAAACAGGAAAGCAAAACCCTCGGCAGCTCATGGGCCCCGAGGATGTGTCACCTGGTGGTCAAGAGCACATAAGAGTCAGAAAAGATCTTTACAAATATGAGCAGGCACTTATTTAGTTCACAGGAGGCATTTGTTCCTCTTATGGGGGGGGGGGGGTGGGGGGGGCTGCTTACCACTCCTAGCAGGGCCCCGTGAGGACTGCTGAGTTAGGCCACAGGATTGTGTCACTAGAACAAAGGAGGGGTTTGCTTCAGCTACAGCTTCTCCAGGCCAGGGGTGGTTTATGGTACACCTTCAAGCTTCTGCTCCAGCACATCTCTGGTACCCTCACCTTTGAAGACAACAGCAGTTTTGCTTTAAGTATACATTGGCAGATCAATCCTTTATGTATTTCTGATAATATAATTCATGTGATCCGACCTGCAAGATATAGGGATTGTAACACTGATAATTCAGCATTTTACACAGCACATGCTGCTGCTGCGAGCTAACCCCAACTTCAGAGTTGATAACTCCCAACATCATCGCTTTGAAGCACTGGAATGGTGTGATGGCAATCTACTGACTGAGCTAGAACGTATCTCTCAAAATAAGCATATAAATACCATACAGTGCACCTGAAGTTGATTTATTAAATAGTCACGAGTTAAAGTCCTGATATATTAGCAAAAATAACTAGACCTTTAAAGCCAAGAAGCCCTTAGGTTATAGTGAAAATCACTGATGTAGGAAAAGCTTCTCTTTCGATGATAGTGCAATCACACACACACAAAAATACCACCAAAACGTTTCTCCTTTCCTGGGATAAAAAATAAAAGCTATTTTGCAGCAGCTGCATGAAATGTTTCCTAGCGAAGTGTATGCATTTTAACTTTCGGTTGCTGGCGACTGAACTTCATTTTGCTGCGTGAAACCACCTGGCTCTTCACAGAGATGCTACTGCTGCTAACGAACCCAAGCCCGGCGTCCTCCAGTGGGGTCCCGCAGGGAAGGGGAGAGAGCCTCTTGTGAGGGAGCTGCTCTGGAGCGTCTCCGTCCCTTCCTCCTGTTTTGCTTCCCAGGAAACGGGGAGACGGAGCCAGGGAACGGATGCGTTTTTCCCGCGGAGCTCGGCGGGGCTGCCCGGCCCACACCGGCGCTGTCCCTCGGCGGTGCAGCACTACCCGGGGGTACCCGCGGGGACCCGCATCACCGCGCTGCGGATTTACCCCAGCACCCGCCCCAAATACAGCTCCTGTTTGTCAACTGATTTATTTCTAAATACAACTACTAACGCGCTCGGTTGTACCATTAAAAATAACATGGTTTTAATGGGAAAAAGCCGGGACCGCAGCCTGCAGATGACGGCAGCAGCGCGGCTGTACCTGCGGTTATGTCCGCGGTCATCCGGGACCCCGGTCTAGCGCAGACAGAGATATTCATCTGTATTTGGTCGGCATAATGATATAGATGGCTATATGATTATCAAACCTTCGCAGCAGTTCCCGGAGGGGGAGCCTCGCCTCAGCGCCGAGCAGCGGAGCGGTGAAGGGCCCGGCCGCGGTGTGGCGGGCAGAAGGCCCGGCTCCGGTACACGGGCAGGGCAATGCGGGGCCGGGCAAGGTATCAGTATCGATATCGCTACCGGTATCGGCGCTTACGGTGCCGCTGCTCGGCCCTGCCGAGGACGCGGAACTGCCGCCGCGCGGGAGCGGCGCCCTCTGGCGGCAGCGGGAGGAGGAGCAGCCGTGCGCGCCCCCGCCATGCCCGGGTCCCGATGAGGAGGACCCGTGCTCAACCCCAAAGTCCTCCCGATGGGTGCCGCTTGTGCCGCGCCGTCCTGAGGCCGAAGCCATCAATTCACCTCCAGGGGAGGGGGAATCGGGTCCGGGAGGTGCGTCCGATACCCGGGATGGCACCGCGTCCGCCGAGCGCTCCCGGCCCGGGCCCGCCGCCTGGCTCGGCTCTGCCCGAGCAGGGAGCCACCCGCTTCCTCTCCCTCCCTCCCTCATCAAGAGCCCAATTTTGTCATTTGGAAACACTAATTATCTAATCACGCCACGCTGCCGAGCGTACTTGTCTGCCCAATTAGCTAGGACAATTATTAAGATTCGGAGGCCTAATTATGTCTCAATTTAATGCTGGCAAACTCACGGATAGAGCAGTAATTAAAATCCTCTCCTTGCCTTTGCCTTTAGGGCAGCGGCTGATGAGGACCTGTCAGGGGCTGCGCTGCACCGAACCAGCCAAGCGGATTGTGCAACATGACCCCGCATTGTTAAGTGTGTCAACATATTAACCTGAATTCCCTTCAGCTCCCATAATCGCATCGGGTAGGAGGAAGAAAAGGGGCTAAAACATGAAGCATTTTATTAAAAAAACATAAATTCTTTTTAATTAATGCTGTAAGAGATCTGACGCCGCTTGAGCTACCAAATGCTGCGAGTCATATAAGGCTGGTGCTTCTAATTACCCAGCAAAGGAGGGTTTGCTCTTCTCTGTTAGAAAGGCTTCCCTCTCCTCTCATTTAAAGAAAACGATCTTTCTTTTGGGTAGTGTGTTTTTTAAAAGCCAGCTAGTTGGCTCCCAGTGATGAAGTTGATTACCAGCTTTTTGTTTGATGATGGGACACAAGTGAATATTGACTTGCGCGAGAATCAAACAGACGACCGGAGGCGTAAATAAAACGGTCAGGATTTAACACTTGAAAGAAGTTGATAAAGTTGAAAATTAAAAATCATAATATTGGGATAATTTCTAAATATTTATTTTTTTGCGCAGCTCTCAAGTTTGATGGGAAGTCAGCGCCGAAACACCAACCAGAACCAGAGTTACCCCAGTGGCTACTTTCCTGCTCCCATCATGAATGAGGAGCCCTGAGCCCAGCATCCCCCAGTGATGACCACTGCAGGAAGAAGGCTGGTCCTGCTGGATTTACCAGCAGAAACATTCCCCTCTAGCATGTCCCTTTTGGGCTGGAAAAACACAGCACCGAGTAAGGTGGTTCCTTCATCTCCAGTTAGTGAGTTCTTCAGTGTCTGAGACTATGGAAACAAGCCTTAATTCCTGGAGCAGGGAAGGAAAGGAGGGAGAGACAGGGCCTCATCTCCCACTGTGCGTGCCCTACATCTTGGCAATGGCCCTGCTCCCAGCCTCCTCAGATGGCAAACCAAAGTGCAAATCTGTGTTCTGGCTTGTTCCAGTGGCTGTCAGCGTGTTTTCCTCTTGTCAGCAGCAATTGACTGGTCAGGTTCACCCTTGTACAGCGATTGTAACAGCTCATTGACAGACTAGTGACCCAGCCGGACCCGATAATGGAAAACTATTGATTTCTGTGGGCTCAGCAGATCTAAAATGAATGCCCAATATAATGTCATCAGCTGTCTTGGACTCAGATATCCTTTAACTTGTCTAAAGAGACCAAGTATCAGAGACGCGCTGCCTACCCTGACAATCTACTTGATAAAAATAATGCCGGATACAAACAAACATCAAAGTGGCCTCTCTCAGTCACCCCCTCACAAGCAACAAGCAATGAATGCCTGGGTAAAGGCTAAGAAACCACAGCCTAGATGTGGCCAGGACTCCAACTGTCCCTTCAACTGAGGAGGCCCATGACAGGCCCTCCAGGTTTTAAAGACAGAAGAATAAGCACGTAGGGGAGTGACACTGAACTCTGCACCCATCCACCAGCCTCCAGAGAGCACATAAGGCAGGAGGCAGAAAGGCTGCTTGCCATAAGCAATACCAGATATGAGTTTAAACAGCAAGAGAAACAAGTGTGGCAGCGTCTGGGGAAATGCTTAACTTTGTGGGATAAAGCAGTAGTTCAAACATTGACTGTTTTGGTCTTCAGGAGCCAAAGCATGGCTTGTGCTTCCCAAGTAGATCATCCCACCTGTATGAAGCAGCTGTCACTTCTGTGTCCCTGTGGCTGACGGACAGGGCTCAAACCTCACTGACACTTAGGCACATCAGGAAGTCAGTGGGACATTTACTAGTGCAAGATCTATACGAATCACAATTAGCCTGGTGCTGGTTTTCTGTGGGATACCAAGCACTTGCTGGAGAAGTTTCACTGTGCCCCAACCTCCTTTGGTAGGGCTTGGAGCCTTCCAGAGCTTATTAACCAGGTTTCCTATAAGGAAAAGAGAGGAGGAGGAGAAAACAGAGGTACCTACCCTGGCAGATGCCAGCGCACATTTAATTCAAGCTCTAATACCAGTGGAGATTTGAATAGCTTTGTGATCCCCATGAAAAAACTCAAGTGACCTTGGGGAAATATTCCTTTTAATTATGAACAATTGGTCAGCTCTACCACAAAGATACCAGCCCTTCTTGAATGTGTTCTCATCTTTTGCAGCCTTCTGCTCAGTGCCTTCTCCCCATACGTGTCTCGTACCCCTCGCATCATTGTTCTGTCCATGACATGCACACTCATGTATTGTATTGCCTTTGCCTTCCCCTGACAACAGGCCCAGCACTGTGATGTGCTACATACACTCATCAAGAGGGAATGACTGCATGGATTACGTTAACTTGACTGCAGCTGAAGACATTTCAGTTTCTCCATGCATTTCCTACACATTTCCTTGGCTCCCTCTCCTGCAGATGGCTCTGAACCCACCTCCCTCCACTCAAGCTTTTACTTCTAGTTCAATTTCCATATGTTGCTTTCAAGCATTTCTCTTCTTGGCATCCCCTCAAGGCCTTATCCTGTGAGAGTGAGTATGCCGCACCACAGCAAGGCTGTGAGAATTGGTCATTCCGCTTTGGGTTTTGCTTTTTTAATGATCATCTTGCATTAAATGAAATGTAAACTCTTGCAGCCATTGCTTTGTTTATCCAAAACAACCCTTCCAAACATTTCCCATTAGCTAGAATGAGGAGCTGAAATCCCTCCTATCCCTCTCACGGAACTGTCACAGAAGAGTCTTTCAAAGCAACAGAACCTCTCGGGTGATGTTCAAACCCAGATGTCTTATCCCTGGAGAGGCTCACTTCAGTCATTAGCTCTTCTTCCTGCCCATTTCTTGGAATCCCAAATCTTGTGTTAAGCCAAGCGTAGATAACATCTCCACGCTATTCCCTGCCTAAGTACAATGAACATGTTCAGGCCTTTGGATAGCAAGTTCCTGAGGCAGGGATTATGCTCTGTAGTATTACTGTTGTCATATTTTCCCTGTTGTAATGTTCCATGTACATTTATGTCATTTATAAAATACAATTAACAGGCATATTGGAATCCACAATGGCCCGAAGAAGGGAATAATAGAAGTAGAGTAACCATGTACATTTGCTTCCTACAACGACGCAGGCTGTGGTGACCCACTCCCAACCAGCAGGTAAGTAGTAGAAAAGAAACACAAGCCTGAGTATTCAAAAAGTATGGCAAAGCTGCCCATAGTTCCCTCTCACTTAGCAGAGACTTCCCAACAGGGTTCAGCTTCTCTCTGCCTGAAGATGTGGACCCCCTCTGTCCTCACATCACACCTCGCCTCCTTCCAGTGAGTACCAACAACTAAGGCTTAGCACTGCTACAACCTGCTGGCTCACCCAGTCACCAAGACAGCATTCAAACACAGCCATCCAAAATGAAACGCTGGAAGGCTTGTACCAAGTCATTATTCTTCCCTGAGAGAAACCACTCTGACTTGTATGTAACTGCACTTCCCAAACATATGCACCGTGGGACTCGCTGCCCCTTGTTTTCAGTGAAAGGCATCAGTGGAAGACAGACTGCCACATTTTTACTAGTTTCTAAATCAATGTAAATATGTATGTTATAGCATTCCATATTTCAATAGTGTGTGCACATACCTGCCTACTCTCAGGTCCGAGCCTCTTGTATCACCTCAGCGTGTGTACAGTGTGTACAACGCTGCTGTACTGGGAGTTATTGTAACTGGGATGATTGTAGTTCACCAGTATGGGCTGAGATTTTATAGGCAATTGTCCTCTGACAAAGCCCAAGTTGTGGGTTTTAACATTTACAAATAGGTTTGTGCAAATAACTGATTCTGCTGTAAAGCAACTGAATAAAACTAAAATGAACAAAATAACCATGTTGAGAGAATCTGAAACATTTTCCAGTTTCCTTTACTGAAACAGAACAAATCCCCTTAATTTTGCAGTGAAGAAAGTGCTTTGTTTCATCCAAAATGTTGCATTTTGGGCACTTGCAACACAAAATGCCCCCTAACCCACAAAGGAAATAAGAGGTTGGATTCTCCACAGCTGCTGTCATTCCCTTTTTATCCACTAACCCAGTAATTAGGGCAGTGACCCAGGATGTGGGAGATCCATGTTCAATCCCTTCTCTGCCTGGAGGGATTTGAACCTCCATCTCTGAGGAGAGAATTAGAGCTGTGGTGCCGGGGGGCCCTTCTCTGCTGTCTCCCCTGGACAGGTACTTTGTGTACACACTATGTGTGACTCAGATGCCCCATGTCACCCTGGCACTGCCCAGTTCTCAGCATTACTCCCCTACCTCTGCTCCCCAATGATGCTGCATGCCAGGTGGAGGGGTTTCAGAAGCTTAGATGACTCTCAGGTGCGCTGAATGTTTAAGGTACATCCATGACCAGATCACAGAGGTGATCCCAGGTCTGGGTATCGATCCCCCAAGGCAAAATGTGGGTCCTCCTTCCTATATACGTATCACAATGCCAGGGCTTTCCCTGAGGAAGTAAGCAATATGCTTATAAGAGGGAAAAAAGGTCTAGTTCAGATAAAAATTGTATTTCTCTAAGCTGAAATTTCTTCCCACTTTTCTAACCACACTTTGCCACACTTTTCAATTACCCCCTAAAGATTTTTTGTCTATTATTGCAAATTGCCTGGCAT